GGCCATCAAACAGCTCCGTAAGCTACAGGTGAGAGTGAAGGGACGGACAAAATGCAGCAGCAGGTTCAGCAAGTGGACTTTTTTTGTCTATACAATGCAGTTTTATTATAGATTTGATTGTAATGATTATAGATGCAGTGTTTGCTTTTCTCATTTCCTTTAAGTGCATGTTAGAAGCTTGTACTTAAAGTGTCTGTAGTACCATCTTCCAACTAAACAGGTATATAAATGCTCTGGTTGGAAATATTGGGCACCTACAGCCAACTGATCATTAATTAAAGATGAAAACATTAGAATTAAAGCCGATCTCCTCGTAACTCTATCATCTTTTCTAACCCTGCATAAAATGTCACAACTCGGAAATTTTGGTGTTCTTTATTAACCACTGGTACCTGATACTTACTGTGTGACTTTAAATGGTGTTTATGTGCTGGAAACTCATAAATGTGACGTTTACATGCAGCACTGCATCAGCAATCACATCAAAGCTCTGGCCTAAGCATGTAAAGCTGTAAACATACCTGGTAAATAAATCACATTCTGATGCTGTTTGTCTAACCACTCTCCCTATTGCTGTATTTATTTCCATTTCTCTTCATCTCACCAGGCCCAGACGAAGGACTTCCAGAGGGAGTTGGAAGACGCCCGTGCTGCCAGAGAGGAGGTGTTGGCTACAGCAAAGGAGAGTGAGAAGAAGGCCAAGACTCTGGAGGCTGAGCTCATGCAGCTACAGGAGGTAACACATTTGACTCTACCTCACATGGTGGAAACTTGTTTCAGAGCAGGATTCAAAGATCAAGGATTCTTTTCTAATATGTTTCTAGGACCTGGCTGCTGCTGAGAGAGCACGGAAGCAGGCAGAGGCCGAAAGAGATGAGCTGTCTGATGAGCTGTCCAGCAACTCCTCTGGAAAGTGGGTAGAGATTTCACTCCGTCACTTTGTCTGTGAAATGAATGTAGAAGACAGACGATTTGTTTTTTTATGCTCCTTGCATGCAGGTCAGCCTTGGCAGATGAGAAACGCCGTCTGGAAGCTAAGATCTCCCAGCTAGAGGAGGAGCTGGAGGAAGAGCAGAGCAACATGGAGATCCTCAACGACAGGCTGAGGAAGAGCACGCAGCAGGTGACCAGACAGTGGCAGCCACTTGAGTGATGAAAGGGCTGCGAAAGTGCAGAGTCTTCACCCCTCTCTATGTGTGCATTCCCTCCCACAGGTGGATCAGCTGAACAATGAGCTGCAGACGGAGCGCACCACCTCCCAGAAGAACGAGAGCGCTCGGCAGCAGATGGAGCGTCAGAACAAGGAGCTGAAGGCCAAGCTCCAGGAGATGGAGAGCCAGGTCAAGTCCAAGTTCAAGTCCTCCATCACCGCCTTGGAGGCCAAAGTGGCACAGCTGGAGGAGCAGCTGGAGCAGGAGAACAGGTCGGGGGCAGAGAAAGAGTTAAAGATTATGTCTGAAGAAATTGTTTTGTCATTACACTCGGCACACCCATCTAAAAATGAGATGACAAGGAGTGAATTTGCATGTTTCAGTAATGACTGTAGCATCAACTTGATTATTTATGATTCCCTTTAAACAGAGCTTTCCAATTCCATTATTATAGTGTTGGTTTTCTACAATTACATCAGTTATACTTGTATTGCTCTCGGAACTCCTCTTGTCCTTTCTCAGGGAGAAGCAGGCATCTGCGAAGAGTATGCGCCAGAAGGACAAGAAGCTCAAGGACCTGATGATGCAGGTGGAAGACGAAAGGAAGCAGGCAGAGCAGTACAAAGACCAGGTCCAATCACTTAATGCACCTATGCTCAAAAATATATAAATATTTGTGAGTGGATGGATATGTGGAGTTCAGTCAGTGCACAGGGACGGTTTTAATTTGTGGTGGCCTATCAACGGAGTACTAACCTTGCATATTATGTCCTCTGTTCCGCTCACCAGGCAGAAAAGTCAAATACCCGCATGAAGCAGCTGAAGCGGCAGCTAGAGGAGTCAGAGGAGGAGTCTCAGCGTGCTACAGCCGCCCGCAGGAAGCTGCAGCGGGAGCTGGATGAAGCCACCGAGGCCAATGACGCCATGAGCCGCGAGGTTAACTCTCTCAAGAGCAAACTCAGGTAGGAGACAAAGTGCCAGAGTCTGTCTTAGCTAGGTTTTGTTTGTTTCGCTTGACTCGTTCACCTTTTTACTTCTGTGACGCTGCAACAGGACACAGATACAGCGGTAAGAAAGGTAGCAAAATGGTGAATAGTCACTATCTGTGTATGTGTGAAATATGCCTATTATACATCTTGTCACACAAAATACAGCAACACAAACAGTTCTCACTACATTCATCTTCACATGATTATTTTAATCTTAGCTAGATTTAGTTTGGTGGCCATACTGAGCACAAGGAAAACAATCGTGTCCATCTCTATTCCAGAGGCAACCCTGAACCCAAGGAGTAACACAGCAGGTACCTCTGCACCTGAAAGTTACCCCATCACCATTTCTTATTAACTTACCATAACTTTTCATCCCCCCATGCACACTCTTAATGCTATCATTTCTTTCATTGAGCCTAACTGAGAGAAATATGGCTCATCAGCCACCCCGATTTCTTTAGGAAAAAACAAAAATATTAGGTAGCAAGTGACCTCTCCATTACACCAATTTCTAAATGGTGGCCATATTTTTCTCAATGCTTGGTTTAATTGCCATAAACCAAACTCATTCTCCTGAGCCGGGAGTCAAATGAGTTACAAAGATAACCAGCGTGCTTTATTCTGTAACCAAAGCACAACCTGTACATTCTGTATTTCACCCAAGTGGATTTCAATCAAACCGAAACCAGCTCGGAAACTGTCATGACTACTCCTCTCACACCGGGCCGGGGGGGGGGGTTTGTGTTTGTATCTCTGTCTGGTGTCCATCTTTGTGGCATTTTAGGCGTGGAAATGAGCCCTCCTTTGGCAGCACAGCCCGTCGTATGGGTGGAAGCCGAAGGGTGGTCGAGGATGCCTCAGAGGAGGAGGCCGACTCCCAAAGCGACTTCAATGGAACCAAGTCCATGGAGTAGAGGACGTCCAATAATCAGATATCAGAATTACCTACGAGGGCAAGCCACGCCACTTAACAGAGAGTAACTTCAAAGCCTGTTATGCTATCTAGCTCTTCCATATCACTTCAAAATATATCTTTTCTCCCATTTCCAATAGTGTACTGATTTATCTTCTTGTTTCAGAGCACCTTTTCTTGACACACAATAATCAGAAGGACTTGATATCAACTAGGGGAGATGTTTTGGTGGCCCTGCTGATGTGTGATGTGCTGTTCCTTTTGTTTTTTAAAGTTACACTCTTTTGTACTGCACTGAATGATTCTTTGTTATGCAAGGTTTTGTACACAAAAATAGGTGCCTCTAATTACTACGCTGACCTGCCAGCAAAGCCTCAGGTCTCCACCATAAGTCACCTTACAACTTAAAGCAGAGACATCATGTAAATCTATGGCTCTGTAATTATTATCAGTGACTGTCGTCCTGTTGCCTGTGACTGCTGTTAAGTGTTTCAGAGCAGCACTGTAGTGGTTTAACAGACTGGATATGAAGAGAGATATTTCTATACTTAGTCTGCATCCAGTCAGTGCTGCTGTTTGTACCCCAACAACCAAGTATTTAGCTGTTAAACATTTTCTAAAGTCACCGTTTTATATTATTTGCACCTTTTCTTGTGTCCAGATATGTTTAGATTACTTTTACTAAAGCCCAGCAATATCAGAATGTTTTAGGTCAGACAAGGTTTCGGGGAAGCTTAACTAGAAAATAACAAGCCAGATTTCAGTATTGGGCACTAAGCAGCACTCATATCTTAATTTTTGATTCCCCCGCGCCTCCCTTGTCAAGATTTACTGTACAACAAAAATCCCCTCACCCGAAACCAACTCATTCTCATTTGATCATGTTATATGTAACCGACTGATGTTTACAGGACACCAATCGTATATATTAATTGTTGAACCACCTGCACAAGAATAAAAGACCTTTAAAAAAAAAGAAAACTTTTGATTTTCTCCTTTTAATGTTTCTGTCTTGGTCAGCAACTTCAAAAGATCAAACTGGGTCCTCACAACAGAGCGTTATTCTCATCTGTTCAATTCAATAGAAAAACAGCTGGAAACCAACAGGATAAAAGTTGGGTATAGTACCTCAGGCACATAACAGTTTAAAGTCCAAATACAGAAGCAGTGGCAGACGTGCTGCATACAAACACCCAGTACACAGTGGTCGTAGCTTGTGTTAGGTTCAAGGAAGGTTAAACAGCGAGGAGCAGGAAATCCGCTTCTTTCATGTATGAACCACAAATGAATTCCTACAGTCAGGCCACACCGCTGTATGAACTCTATGTTAAGATATGTACTGTATTATCTCCTTAATGAGCTGCCGGATATCAGTACTGACAACTCAAGATTAACCAGAAACATTTCAGGGAAAAGCACAGACGTCACATTAAAACCACTCTATTTCCCCACTCACAATATCTCTTACTAAAAGGCAGGAAAAGGGTTTTTAAACATAGTCTCTATATACCTACACAAATATAATATGAAATGTGCTTATCTTTGACCTGTTAAAATCTATTATTGCTTTGTATTTATCCCCATTTGCCCACCATATAACCCTTGATGGCAGACAGGAGGTCTCGAGCCTATTAGGGAATTATAACTATACATTCAGTAGTGAACAGTGCCAGTCTAACTTCTACAGGCAACTAAAATCTGTATAAAAGTAATTGGTAATCTGCAGCATGACAAACGGATATATTCTCTCTCAGGCAGAAGACCTATCCATATACTTCACATTCATAAGCCTTGCATACCAGAAAATTAGTAGTCTGCAAAAAAAAATAAAAAATCTGTGCAGTGGAAGGAAGGAGGTGATAGGAAGGACCAGGGTCAAACCGAATACCAGGTGAAATTAAACCGGTCTGAAGAAAAGCATTTCTAGGAGCCTGGCAGCACGAGGAATAGTTAAACCATTTGATTTATTTTAACCATTACAGCAAAGCAAGGCCTGCAAACTAAAAGAAGTATTACCAGTGAGGAAGGCAGCAATGGTTAAAACACAAATTCCTGGCAGCAACTTATTCATTCTCAACTGGGAAGTTTTTGCAGCAGTGGAAAATATTGAGTCTCTTTTAGACAAAATACTGTGGGGCTCAGCTTTGAAATCCTATTCTAACCATCTTTTACAATATCTAGCTCCTCAACAACTGAGATTTATTCATGCCGGTGTTGTTCAGTACTACATTATTCAAGCCCATGGTTCAAATAATAAAAGAACAAAAACAGACAATTAGGTTATTCAAATTATCAACCATTTTTCATATTAGATTAAAACAGGAAAAAAAAAAAACACCTAACCCGTTACTTTTATGTTTGATCAGTTTTTCAAAGGTTTGGTTTGTACTTGGTCCCTATATCAGGGTCACATCCTGTAGCTGTTAATATAACTGGCTCTTATTTGGGTCCTTACTTCATAATGGACAAGTGCAGGCACACATTGGGGGTGGGGGGGGTGGGTGGACATGCGTTTTCTGGGAGCAGTAATGTTTCAACAGCCCCAGTTCTGCTTGATCCACTGCCGAAAGCAAATTAGCCAAAATGGCAGACAAGGATTTTTTTACATGCTGCCTACCACAGCGTCAACGATACAGCAGAAGATATGGGGTGACAAGAAGGTTCTTCAATCCTTGACTTTACACAAGCTGTAGCGCTGATTCCTATGAGATATGGTGTGATACTAGCCTGAGGCAGCAGAAGTCCATGCGCTGAATATGTGGGGCAAAGAGAATGGCGTTCTTGTTCAAATAGTTCAGCAGGGCAAGTGGCGCCAAAGGGATACAGCCCAGTTCAAAGTCCCATTGCTGCTGCAGTTTAAGGAGGGAGAGGGAACAGGAGGTTCGGTGTCAGGTTATTGAAGATGGTTTGCCTTCTTTTTCCTTTCATAGCAGAATCTTGACCCCTGCCTGTGGAGACTGGGCGCCCTGGGAGACGCCTCTCGGAGGAGCTGGTCCAAACTCTAACCGCTTCACTAAACTGCAAGACAAGACGTCGCACAAACACTCATGAGCAAACCTGAGATGAAAAAGTTGGATACTCTTATTCCCAATGTCTGTTGGCTTTACAGACATAAAAGTACAATGATAATTTAAATAATTATATTTAAACAAAGCTGTGTATAAAAATAAGGACAAAGATCAAGTGGACCGCGTTCACTTCGTGGAATCAACAGCAGAGCGGCATATGTTGCAGAAGGCCGGTTGCTCAAGGATTCAATAATTACATTTTGTTCAAACAGGTTAACAGCATGTTACTGTAAACATGCCTTACTTTACATATCAGAAGGAAAATTAACTGTATTTCTGAACCTGGTACTTATTTTCATAACTGTGTTCAAGTTTTCAGAAGTTTGCACTCGCTGCCACTGTTGATGATAATGCAGAAATGCAGCCTCCAGCAAAATAAATACAGACCCAGGTTGAAAATGACCATAAATCTCAATTCAATTACCTGACATTCGCACACAGTAAATCTGAGGAATAAAAGAAGGCACAGTGGGTTGCATATCTGCACCTGAATGACTAAACCTACACTGGGGAGAACAAGTATTTGATACACTGCTGATTTTGCAGGTTTTCCTACTTATAAACCATGTAGAGGTCTGTATCATAGGAACACTTCAACTGTGAGAGAAATCCAGAAAATCATATTGTATGATTTTTAAATAATTAATTTGCATTTTATTGCATGACATAAGTATTTGATACATCAAAAAAGCAGAACTTAATATTTGGTACAGAAACCTTTGTTTACAATAGTTCTTGACCAGATGTGCACACACTGCAGCAGGGATTTTGGCCCACTCCTCCATACAGACCATCTCCAGATCCTTCAGGTTTCTATTGGGTTCAGGTCTGAAGACTGGCTAGGCCACTCCAGGACCTTGAGATGCTTCTTACGGAGCCATTCCTTAGTTGCCCTGGCTGTGTGTTTCGGGTCGTTGTCATGCTGGAAGACCCAGCCACGTCCCATCTTCAATGCTCTTACTGAGGGAAGGAGGTTGTTGGCAAAGATCTTGCGATACATGGCCCCATTCATCCTCCCCTCAATACGGTGCAGTCGCCCTGTCCCCTTTGCAGAAAAGCATCCCCAAAGAATGATGTTTCTACCTCCATGCTTCACGGTTGGGATGGTATTCTTGGGGTTGTACTCATCTTTCTTCTTCCTCCAAACACAGCAAGTGGAGTTTAGACCATAAAGCTCTATTTTTGTCTCATCAGACCACATGACCTTCTCCCATTCCTCCTCTGGATCATCCAGATGGTCATTGGCAAATTTCAGACGGGCCTAGACATGCGCTGGCTTGAGCAGGGGGACCTTGCGTGCACTGCAGGATTTTAATCCATGACGGCGTAATGTGTTACTAATGGTTTTCTTTGAGACTGTGGTCCCAGCTCTCTTCAGGCCATTGACCAGGTTCTGCCGTGTAGTTCTGGGCTGATCTCTCACCTTCCTCATGATCATTGAGGATCCACGAGGTGAGATCTTGCATGGAGCCTCAGATCGAGGGAGATTGACCGTCATCTTGAACTTCTTCCATTTTCTAATAATTGCACCAACAGTTGTTGCCTCACCAAGCTGCTTGCCTATTGTCCTGTAGACCATCCCAGCCTTACAATTTTATCCCCGATGTCCTTACACAGCTCTCTGGTCTTGTGGAGAGGTTGGAGTCTGTTTGAGTGTATGGACAGGTGTCTGTTATACAGGTAATGAGTGGAGAACAGGAGGGCTTCTTAAAGAAGAACTAACAGGTCTGTGAGAGACAGAATTCTTACTGGTTGGTAGGTGATCAAATACTTATGTCATGCAATAAAATGCAAATTAATTATTTAAAAATCATACAATGTGATTTTCTGGATTTTTGTTTTAGATTCCGTCTCTCACAGTTGATAACCTATAATAAAATTACAGACCTCTACATGCTTTGTAAGTAGGTATCAAATACTTGTTCTCCCCACTGTACATAGAGAACAGAACTGTGTTTGATTATACACTACTAAAGTAAAGCTTGTAACTATGTAAGATAGTCCTTAACCAGACAAACTGACCACAAGAGACGTTACACTTCAGACTGTGCTGCTGTTCCCCCTCACCTGTCGTACTGAGGAGGTGGGCTCATGCTAGTAGCTTGGACCTCGGGGCCTCCCTCTAAACGAGAAGGACTACAAGGGCCAGCCGGAAGTGCTGGTCTGCTGACAGATGTATCGTACACAAAGTCTCGACAGGAGGCCAACTTTGACTCCAGATTCTGGCAGGGATATTAAAAAAAATAATAATAATTGTCAGCTCATACATGGAAAACCCCAACTTGTAGCAATTGTATTCAGTGTTAACACAGTTCTGTAAAGCATGTATTCACTGGATACTGTAGTGGTATCATTTTAAAATCTCTTACTCCAACTTTTCTCAGCAGCTCCCCTACAATGTTGAGTGCAGATATTCTAGCAGACGTCGTGAGGGGAGTCCCCGTTAGACCATCACCTAAGACAAAACAGATATGAGCCGGTAAACACACAGCAATATGACGCTGGTATCACTCTAGGTATTACTGCAGTCAAAGTTTTTCTATGTACCTCGTCGGATACTGGAAACGGGGGGCGTGGAAAATGAGCTGATAGGTTTGGAGGGTGTGACAGGGATGGACGGGTTACCAGCTATGGGGCATGGCAGATCCGATCGATCTGTGTCTTTGCCCAGGCTGCTGGACGGCCGTCTTTCCTTCTGACGTACAGCCAGCTCCTGGCGAAGGTCTGACACAAATAGGACACACAGAGATACTGTCTGACACGTTTGAGGTACAACATCGGTTTCCATACATTCCATATAATAATACAAAAATTCAGTGCAGAGACTTGAAACAACTTAAAATAGGTGATTCATGAAGTCATGTCATCTTTGTTGTAATCAAGAGCATACATGATCTGATCTAAAAACTGCATTCCCACCAAACCATAATGCAAGTGTCCTGTAACACCAAGCCAACGTCAAAGGCCTAGCACACACAAAGATCAACTGTACTGGTAAACATCCACTTGAGCATAACTCAGTGTACAGCCTACAGACTGCAGACAGGAACACTCTGCACTTGCACAAACAGAAAATATCTAATCTATATTTCTATGACCTGACGTTGCCAGCCACTCAACCTTTGCGTTGGACGAAGAAAGTGAAAGCAGAGACAAAAACAAAGGCAGTCAGCTCTCATCACTGACTGCCTCTGCTACCAATTCAACGTGCTCAGTCATCAGAGTGGCGGCTGACAGTTAACTAGTGTCAACTAGTATATGATTAACTGTGATGGATTACTACACTAAGTAAGTTTCAGCTTTATGCAAGTTCATTTTCACACCAATGTGAAAATAAGTGAGAAACAGTAGCTGTCTGGGAAGAGTAAAAGACAAATATATTCACAGACAGAGACCTTAAAGTCCTAATGATAATAATGAGCTCTGGCAGCACAAATATACTAGAATACAATTACACATTAGATTACACACATGATAAACCATACATGATTATACACAGGATTTGAAGAATGAATCCAGATATCAAAATTCACTGATTTAAGCACGAGTGTCAGGTAGTTCTCTTGACCTTGAGAGGCTACAGTGAGTGCATGTTTGTGCATATACCTCTGGCTTCATCCTTGAGCCTCTGAACAGATTCCAGCAGGTTCTCTTTCTCATCCAGCTCGCTTTCAAGAAAGGCATTCCTCTCGATGACGTGGTTCATTCGCTGCTCAAAGTCCTCCAGAGACATGATGGTAGCCCTGGCACAAGCAGGAAGGATGGGCCAATAAAAGTTAATACTGGGCTTATTGTGCATGTCAGCTTTGTGTGCTGCAGTCTAACTCTATGTGGACTAAAGTCTGAGATTTGTAATTTAATGATGAAGCCCACTAGCAAGATAATGACAGAAGACTTCTTACCTTTTGGTTCTCTCCAAATCATCATTGGACTGCTCTAGCTCCCTGATGTATTTCTGCAGGTGATCTCTCATTGCTTTGGTTTCTGCCAGTTCTTCCTCCAGGGTTGAGATGTGCCTAAAAGCATCAGAATGCTGTGCCTCGAATTTCTCCTGCAAACAGCACACAGACATCATATTAACCGACACTGGCAATGCCTGCTTTGTAGTGTCTTGGCCGATTAACCAATGCAGCTGCCAGCATATTTGAATAAGAGGACCTGTGTAATTTTTTTAGACATTAGTCAAGACAAAAAAATCCCTTCGAATGTTCTTTCTCCTCCTCGTCCCCAACAGCCGAGAGACAGCTAGCTCCAACAACCTTTGAGGAATCAGGGTTTTTTAGCGCAATCCTTCATTCACTTCTGCCATTAATTACCTCTTCCCCATGGAGCACTGAACAAAAATAGCAGTCAGCTGCCTTATAGCTAGGCAACAGTTTTCCTAGTGGCAGTGACATGCTTAATTTGGGTTGGACTAGAGCCTGCCTGTGTATGCCGGTGTGTCTCCGTTTCACTGTCTGAGAGAAGGAACAGTAACATCACAGCACTGTACCAAGGCCTGTTTATAATCAAGGTGCTATACCTTTATGCTTTCCAGTTCCATGCGGAGTCGGTTGTTGTCTAAAAGCAGCTCTTTGTTTCGACCTTCACAATGCTTCAACTCGGTTTCCAGTTCTGCTTCATAGTCTCGACTCATCTGCTGAAACTCCTGCAGCTCCTCCTGAGCCTCATCAGCCCTGACGACAAAACAATGTTCACTACCAAAAATAACTCACTGGCCATGTTTTATAACATGTGTATAGATATAATGTGTGATTGCTATTGAAGTTACCCACTAAAGCAGCAGTGTTTGCCTAATTTTTGCCGTAACGTTACCTTTGTTGATGTCTCCCAGCCTGCTCCTTCCAGAAACCCAGCTCCTCTTCTAGGGATGCAAACTTCCGTGTTGTTGGCTCTAGCATGTTTGCTGCTTTGTGTCAGGATGATGGGGATGGGAGACCTGTAAAGTGAAACACAGTGACGTTACAGCTTTTAACAATGTCCTTACCTGTCATAAGAACACAAACATGCTTTACCATTCAACTGTTACGGTTAATATTAGCGAATGCTAAGTTAAACTATGTTAGCAAGCGTTAGTCTAACGTAACAGCGCTATGCAATTTGTCAGGGTATACTAAGACTGAGAAAAGAAAAATCTGTTTTCGCATTTATTTTTTTTATCAATAATGAAAAAGTTCAGTTGGGAACTGAACGCGTTAGCTACTTCTTAAAGCGGCGTCGTAAGGTGAATATCCAATGGCCAAGCTTTTTAGCAAATGTTAAGCTAAAATAAGGTTAGCTAGCTAAGCGACTTAGCCAGAATATTATCCCAACACAGTGAAAATAACAAACTAGGCAGACTCACCTGCATATAAGGGTACGATTAAAATATGCTATATCTAACGGCATGTAGTTCGAAGTAAGACTAAATGTTCCGGATTTGTGCAACAAACGTATTCTGATTGCACGAACTAATCTCCCGTTACCTTAGGCCGGTGCTCGACTCACCAACCAAATACAAACGAAGCTTCGGTTCTCAGACGCCATTGGATGATAGCGATGACGTTTTTAAAATATTATCCAATAATATCGTTCAACGAACTTGTAGCCACGGGAGGCGGGGCTCCTAACTGACAGCACTGAGCTCTGAAGTGAACTTACGTTGGTCCTGTCGCCACCTGTTGTCCTGCAATGGTGCAATAACAACAAAGCAGTAATGTCTGTGAGTCCTCCGACGTTTTCATGCAAGACTGTGGAAGTTAAAAGTATACTTTTGTTTTTTACTTCTGTTATCATTTTAGAAGGTAATTTAAAAAAAAATTGGCAATGACTGATGATTGAATAAAAACAATGGGGAACAACTGGAACAATAAGGGTGAAATACTGGAATGCATGATTGTTAGTAGGCCAATTAGGTTATACATTCCTTGCAAAAAAAACAACATGCATTTATTGTTTTTCATATGCTGCTTCAATGTTCATTTCATGATCCCCATGAAAGGTTTATGAATGTACTGTTATTATGTGGTACTTACATGAAGGATATCATATATTAATGTTAAGTATTATATTTGGTAATGAAATGAAAGACTCCTTATTGAAATCATTGAGAACAACATTCTATAATTGTATAAGGGCTTTAGCTCTGGCAATAATTAATACTGACATTTTATTCCCCCCAAAGAATAGTCATTCATCTTTCACGCACACTGCAGAGCTGCAATCTGTTTGTCAGTTTGGACAACCCAGGGTCTTGTTATACTTTCAGCATACAGATACAGTATTCCACCTGTTGTTAACAGCACATTTAAGCACAAATAATCACATGCTTGACAGTCAAGACAAGGCTAGTCCAGTGGTTCTTATAATACCAAACAATTCATGTTTATTCTATGATTACTTTGGATGGACAAACTTTCATCAATCACTACATCTTCTTCCTCCCACCTCAACTACAAATACATCTAAACGCTGTGTTGAGAAACTTCTCTCACTCTAAAATGAAGGGCAGGAAGTCGGCTCTGTACAGAATTCAGTCCAAGCAACATGGCTTATCTTATACATTATGACTGGAATGCATATAAGATCCTGAGAAAAGTAGCATTTAGCATAGAAAAAAATAGAAACAGGAATTTCATTTCAGAAAGAAATAAAACAAGGTCAGCGGTCAGCAGCAGATCACTCCAGACCTGAGACACATGTCCTTGGAGTTTTAACATTTATAAAAATTGAGGCATCGGAGAGGTAAAATGTCTGTTGGTCAAACTACAGCCTGTCAATGAGTATAGGCCTCCTCTGTTTTTGCTATAGATTATACCACCAGAAATTCAGATAAAGATAAGAGCACAGGTTTTTCTCCCAGTTCTTCTTTTCCGCCACAGCAGGGCGATTCCTCATCAGGTCAATCATTCAGTAACAAAGTAGAGAGATCTAAAGGAAAATAAAACAATTTCAAGGTTAAATCCACCACATTATCAGTTCATCTCACTTGTTACACAGCCAGAAGACTAAATGTTCTTCCTTACCTCAGAGGAATCATTCTTCGGCTTTAGTTGTTTCTTCGTTGTTTTTGCGTGAGCATGTCTTCTTACTGTCTAACACATCGGTCTTCACCTGACCCAGAGTGCGCAGTAGGCACATGGTGTCAAACCCCTCATCACCAGCCTCTTGCAACAACTCAAGCACCTGTAAATAAGACATGTTATGCATTTTTTAAAAGCAAAAACAACAGCAAACACAGGTGGCATACTTAACCACAGTATCTGTGCTGGGACCCACCTGCAGACACTTAAACGATTTGAGTTCGCTCAGGTTCTCCTGCAGGAACAATAGATAGATGCTGAGGTCGTTGTAAAAGGGTGTGACCGCACCCAAAGCACCAAAGCCCGGCAGCATCTCATAAGGCCGGAGGAAGCCGGAGCTCTGGCGAGCTGGTCCCAGAGCAGCGTACACCACCAGGGGAGCAAGAAGCACATACACCCCCAAGTTGATGTAGCTGAGCAGCCTGAAGACACCCACTGCCACGAGCTTACACTGGACAGCAGACGGCACCATGCTGTCATTCTTCAGCACCCCCGTACGCAGGTCACAGGGAAACTCATCCGTGAGAGAGGCCAGTCGGATGTAGTAGCCAAGGTAGAGGCAGGCCAGCAGGAGGATCAGCAGAGTCAGGCCCCGGCATGCAAGGTACTTGACCACAAGGCAGCGAGAGAAGCGCTTGGTCTTCAGGTACTGCTCCACTAAAGGGTATTTGAAGCAACCCTCTGTCAGGTCCAAGGCACTGCTGCTGAAAAAGGCACATGGGCATACGAGCACAAGGTGAAAAGACCTCTATGTTTAGGATATGTAATAGTATTTAGCTGAATAGTGAGCAATAAATACAGTTCCCTACCACATCAGGATCATCTTACATGACCAAAATATCCCCCTAAGCTTATTCAGTGCTGATTTACCATAAACTCAGTCTGATATTATTTACGACTACAAACACAACATGTCTCATTAAACTTTTTAAGCAGTGGCAGTCTGGCTATCTAGAATACCGGGACAATTACCGGCCAACCTACAGGCCAGTGGGCCACCTTCCTTAGCCTATACTTTTTTACTAACAATGAAAAAGTTGGCAGAATGTTGAGCAACACAGGCCAAACCCCCCTTTTCCCAAGACCTGTTGGTCTACTCTAAATGAAACTTTTACTTTTACTTTTACTCCCAGTCCGTCCATGTTTTTAAGTCATTCACTGGCCTCAGTGATCTAATAATAATCCAAATCAAAGCCCTTTTGAGTAGATTTTGTACCACCACATTTCAGCAACATTGCCACTGGGGTGGCACCAAAGAAGGAACATTCTCATCAGTGTCATTTTCAGATGCAACAGCCTGCTGTTTTCAAACCTGCCCAGCACCAAATAGCAGACAAAGTTAGCAACTAGCTGGTGAACATATTAGAGCATTTACCAGATAAAGAACAGATAGCCTATTTCTGGAGTTTGTGGAGACCAAAGCAGAGTTAGGAGGAGAGTAAATGTTGGAGATTTGTCTAATGGCCAGAAACACGACTCCAAATGAATGCTAGTGTTGCTCCATATATGCTGAATGTGCGCATTGGAAACTGTTTGCTGATATTACCTTGGGGTGTCTTCAGGTGCACCTTTGCCATCTAAGGATGCTAGATTCTTGGCCAGTCTGATGGCACGATTATAAAAGCGGTCCAGCTCCTCCATGATGAAGTTGAGGTCAGAGGAGAGGTGCGGAGCTGCAGTGAAACGCCAGAACAAGGCCGGGATGTACAAGAGGATGGCTAGTAAGAGCAGGATGTATGGGAAGAACTGAATCACAGAAAGAGAGAAAACAGAACAGAAAAAAATTGCATCAGACGTTAGTATGACTAACCTTAGAAAGCATGCATTTAACTTTATGAAGCTGTGTAAGAAATGTGTAGTCAGTTTCAAGCCTCTCTCGTTGGTCAAGGGACTAATAAAATTACATTAAAGAATAAAATGGTCAATGTAGCTGAAAATTGAAAAGACGCTTAATTACCCCAAACTTGACTTAACATTATTTGGACTGGGAAAAACAAACATCCCAATGCCAACACAATCACACTGTCAGAACTGATGATTCTCACTGGCAGTGCATGTTGGGGAGGGGTGGCTTTAGTACCTTGTGCAGCCATAGTGGTGAACTGTCAGCTTGTTGCTGTACTGCTGCCCAACAAAATGAGTCCACATATGCGGCCTGTCTCCAAGAGAAGTTAGTGGGAGCGAAGCAGCTGATCTGGGTACCTGGATGAGAGAAGTTAAGAAACAGTCAGAGCTGACAGGCACTTTGGTGATTCAGCAAAGAGAAACAAACAACTGTCAACCCCCCTCCTCTGCACTCATGGCTTGATCTTCAGCATACTTTGTGTCACTAATTATGCCATCCCCTATTATGGTGGGTGTACAGTGGGGAAGTTCAATCAGCCATGTACAATTCACAAATGACCCACATAGTCAACAGACAGTAATCTTCTGGCAGAACAGGGGCTGCCATATTTTTATTACTGGTGCTTTTTAATCAAACTCATACAGCATATTCTCACCACAGAATTCTCTATTCCATCTATGACATAGTCCGCCAATCAATTATAGCATTAGTCACAATAGTACTAGTTATATAAAGTAAGTCAACTTATAGCGCTTGTAGCGTGAAGCAATGGGGTTTCACATAATGGTAGGGAAGCTAATTCTATCAACCGCAACTTTTAGAAGTTTTGCATGCAAATACAAATGTCCAACACAAAACGCTCAATTATTTGATTATAGATGGAAAAGTCACATCACATTTGCAATATATATTTTCAGCCACTTTTATTATGTCAAATACCATAGTATTTATTTAAAACATGAGCACTGCTATCATTTAAAGAATGCATCTCTTCCATACACACGACCAGCTGTGACATGTCTTTATAGAGTGCATTGGCTTGTTTTAGTGTTACCATCATTATTAAAAACAATCATGGTTTGCTTAACTTGAGATCTTTTCTACTTAGTTTCTATTGAAACACTTTGACTAGTTGAGTTATTTTAATGATTCACTAATAATGCACAGAAGTCTGAACTGTGTGAATCTGTCAATAAGTGTGAATAATAAAATGAATAATCGCTGGATTCTATTCAGCTGCTTTAGTTTTATGGCACACTGTATACTGTAGAGGCTTAGTGGGACACTTGAACAGAACAGAGACATTGTTAATGTTAGTAACTGCTTCTCCTGTTATGACAAGTCAAACAGTCTGTTGTGAAAAAGGCCTACATATAAGTAACAATCTCTCTTGCGTCGCCTCCTTTGTGAGTGCCATATATTTAATAAGGAAAAATCTATGTGAGATTTTGTCTATAATGTGCATTCACTTCATTTGTATTGTGTGTGATAACAATAGAATTCATTTATGTCTTTCAGTCATAGCAGCACAGTAAAAGTTCTCTCAAGGCTTACAGTGTAATGGATAGCCTACATCCTATCTGGGATCTCAAGCAGGACTGGCAGTCCTAGCAGATAATGATAACAACAGACTGTGGGCATTATGACCAAAGAAGATTATGTAGACTTGTTAAACTGCTGATGGCGCTGGAGATATTTTATTTTTACACTGAAAAGGGGGTCGTGAACATACATTGATTTGTGTGAGCCATCCAAAAGCCCATATTGCACCAGCTTATCCACATGATTACAGTACAGACGTCTCTGTCAGTATGTCGAAGCCTGCCTTGCGGTCCTGGCGTGAGATGAGCAGAAGGGTGGAGACTTAAACCACACCTTCTCCTGTATTTACACCTCTCTCTTTCTGGCCATTTGCTAAATGTAACTCCCCTACATGCATAAATATCACATTGCTTCATCCACCGCTTCATGTAAGGGCGGTGTAACTGAAACAAATGTGCTACAACACTAACAAAGGGAGAGAGAGACAAGAAAGCTCAGGATGTCCATCGACCCGCCCATGCATTATTCTACATGGTGAAACTCAAAGGGGGTTTAACCTCAGATGATGAAGGCGCACAAATTCAACAACTCACCCACAGACACCTCTTGAGCAAAGGCGAGTGAGATGAGAAACAGAGGCAGTCCCACCGCTAGAAACGTAACTATTTTGTCCACCGCCAGCTCCAGACGCACCCCTTTGTACTTCGCCTCCGTGGGGTCCTTCAGCAAAAAGTCGGAAAAAACATACTCGGTGGCTACGTGGGCAATCGCCATGATGGACGGGAACAATAAGCCGGTGTTGTCTAATTGATGGGAGAGTCCGTCTCTTTTCAATTAGCCAACAGCGAACTGCGTCTGACGTTTAAATTAATGAAAGAAAATCTACCGTCATTGTTTGCACAGATCTCCATTCACAACTGGGACTGACTGACTGAACCTGCTGTCCCGTTACTGTTTCCCAGACATCACAGGCAACCGGGGGGGGGTCGACTACCTGCCCCCAGAGGGCGCTATCGGGGCTTTTACTGCACCTGCCAGGCTGCTATTAGAGTCAATTAGCCTATATGATAGCCTTTCATTTTAAGTGACTTTTCTCTAATGATTTATTAACAGTTTTTATGTTTTTGGGTAGTAATTTTATTCAATGGAGGAAGAAGTATTCAGGTAAGTATTCAGCCAGAAAATGTAATGTAAAAATACTCACAGGTGAGTACATACATTCTGCAAAATGAGTACAATAGCTCAGTAGGCTACTATTATATTACTGTATTATTATTAATAATGTATTAATACGTATCCAGCATTTAAATGTCCAATATACTGTTGAATGGTTTAATCTATAACAAATCATATTTTAATATGACCAAACTATGTTTGTGTTTCTATGTCTGTAAAGTATGAGCCTATTGATATCAGTCAAATAAATGTAGTGGATTTAAAAGTGCAATGTTTCCCTCTAAAATACAGTAAAGTAGCTAAAAGAAGGACCGTTAAATGAAAATACTCGAAAAATTGTATGGCAAACGAATGGCAAAATCTACAGTTCGGGGGAAAGGGAAGGTAATTATTCAATCTGAAGACTGTTTTTTGGTGGCTAATAGAGAAAAGTTATAACCTTGACGGGCAGGTACTTTGTACAACCATGAGGGTTTCAACAATGATTTTTTTTTTTTATCCAAAAAAATGCAGAAGAATGTAATTCAGTAAAGCGACTGAGAGCTGTAGCTGAGTTATTTTAACATTAAACTGTAAGCGTGCCCATCTGCAATGAACACATGACATTAATAGATTAGAACACTTTATTAACGTTAATCCTCAATATCATTGATAAAATGCATGATCCACTTAAACATTTTTAGCCCAACATAAAATTACTGCAACTAATTTAAAACACAAATGCATGTTATTGTAATATAAACGTGCCAGTCTGGTGCGTTATCACGTTTGTCGTTCACCAGAGTAAACAATAATATTTTGCGACAGTTGCGCGTGGTTTCAGGCAAAATTAGGTTACAAAAAGGTGCGGGTTTCTAAGGAGACAGATAGGGGGAAGAGTCCTTTGAGGACGAGACTTTCTCAGGTAGCTAAATAACACACAATTCTGGAAATGCCTCGCCATGATTAAACACTAACGTTACAGATTTTACCGTAAGGACAATGGACGGTGGCGTGTGGGGGCAGTAGGCTGTGTGTCGGTTAAACAGGCTAACTAATGGTGCCTGTTGTTAGCTAAAATCTAAGGTTAGCTTCAGGCAAACGGTTAACTTAATGCTATCGTTTAATTAGCTAATTTCAGGTAGCTAATTCAGGAATAAATAACGGTAAATGCAGAGAAACGGCATTAACGTGAGCTAGATTGTGGCTAATTTAACGTGGATTGTTTTACTTGATTCGTGTTGGTAAAACACAACTGTGACGCTAGTTAGCTTCAGATAAGAAGTCCAAACTTGCCAAGCGTGTAATGTTCTGCACACAAACCTGCCCCCTTTGTTAGTCGGTAAGCACTTAACACACAAGTTTGGTGTCTTGGAAATGTTGGAAATGCCTACGCACGGGCTTATTGAGGTGCTGTAAACGCAACTAACTATTGTAAAACTTTTAACTTTCGTTTCCTCTTTTATAGGAAAGCATGAGAGAGAGGAGAGACGAAAGTATGGTGAAAGACCCCTCTGGGTATGATGGAAGGACTGGGAAAGGAGAGCTCCATATGTAGCTCTAGACCCTTGCCATGGCTCAGTCACCCCAAAACAGAGGCCTCAACCCTGCTATGGAAACTCAAAGACTGCTTTTCCACCAATGAGACAACCTCAATTCACCACACAGATAAAGAAGTAGGTATTTATCTTTAAACATGCGGAGTATCCATAGGAGAAAGTGGAGGAAATCCAATTCTGGGCAACAATCTTAATTTATTATCTCATATTTAACATTATACATTATTTTAACAATAATTGTTGACTACCAGCTAAAAGTAACCGGAATGCATAGCTACAAAATGATTGTAAGCTGAACACAGTGAGTCCTTTCGGCACTTACATGTCACCTACATGATGATACAGTTAAATGGAGTGCAGGTGGCATTTTAGGCCATAGGTATGATGTTGAATCTGTCACACAGCAGCAGGTTGGACTTTAAATTCAGCTGTTCACCACTTTAAAGTGTGCAGTGAGAGTACAATACTTTTTTTTTTTTTTTTTAAATATTTGGAGTTAGCCACAACAAGCCATATCTCACTTGTTTAATACTGGTCAGTGCACTTATCTCCTGCATGCTGTTAAAACTGTTGTACACCCATTCAGGTTACTTAGGTGTGGTATCACTTCTGCACAAGGGTTAAACAGGTTTCCATAATAAACAATAATCCACCTAACTTTGTTACTTGGTGTAAAATAATCTGCCGGTCTTTTTTATTTTGCAGAACAATTACATGGACAGCAGAAAGGCTGTGCTGGAACTGAAAGATGTCCCCCCTCCTCCTCCGCACCATACGTCCTCTTCCCAATCATCCCAGCCCTTCTCTCTGGCCCCTCTCCCTTTGTCTTCTCCCTGCTTGCCTCCTCCTCAGCTTACACAAGACTCCCAACAACAGCCACCACAGCAGCAGCAACAAGAGGGGGCTAGCCCCAAAGTAAGCATTTGCACTCACTGTGAATATTGCAGCACAGACGGCTATGGGTTATTACGTGGTGGAGGTGTTGTTGGTAGCAGTAGCAGCATTGCTGGTGTTGTCTCGCTCTATATGGCCCCAGCCTCTCTGGGAGCACCCATCAGCAGCAGCAGTATTTGCATGCCTGGCCCTTGCTCTGTAGCTTCATCTGTTCATCAGTATAAACATAAGCTGTGCTACGGAAGTGGAGGTGAAGCTCTTGATCCTTCACGCAGTCTTGGTTACAAACCTCAGCTGCTCTCTTCTGTCGCTACCTCTCAACCTATTTCATCACACCCCTACACCTCCTGCTGCTCAGGGCTTCTCCCCACCTATCAATCTGTACCTCTTCCATGCAGTCAACCAAGCCTGTTTCCCTCCTCAACATCTCTGGCTTCCCCTCTCCCTTGTGTTTCCACTCTACCTGCTCACTTGCATGGCTCTTGCCTGGCCTCTTCTGGCTACTACACCTGTGGTGTGGACTGCTGCCCATCAGCCAGAAGATCCCAGAGAAGCACACTCGGTGATCACCCAACCACCACCACCATCACCACTACAACCACCTCAGCACACTTCTGCTCTAATCCTATGCACCTAAATGTAGAACGCACGGTTTGTGTGAAGGGGGCACACTACTGCCAGGAGTGCCTGTTGAAGGTTGGTAGAACCTTTCTTTTGTATTTGTGTGCCACGAAGATGACTTTAGGGAACTTTAATCACTGTTGGTAACTTCATTCTATGTGCGTGGATGACCTCAGTCATGTACACTGAGACTGGTTTTGTATTTGTTTTATATGATGCATTAGTATTGCTTGCTGTTTGTTTTTTCCCAGACACACTGTATTGATTTGTACTTATTTGCAGCCTATGAAGGGTCTGGCATTAGAGTCGGACAAGGTGTGGCCCAATGTTCCTGTTCCCCAGACTGCTCCTATCGCTATCCCCATTTGTAATGGCTGTGGCACCTCATCTGATAGCATGATGCTCATGTCATCAACCAGCCTTGGCAAGACTGGACAGAAGTATGGTTAGTAGACTCTATAATACGGTTTTGAATTCCTACATATATACATTTTAGTTAAATGTCAGATTGGTCTTGAGGATCTTGATTTGAGTGAAGGGGAATGAAAATGTTCTCCCATGTAAATAAACTTAAGATGCTTTAAAAATGTTAAGTGTGTTTCAGAAAGATTGTTTGCTAACTCTATGCTAGGCTCTCCAGAGAACAGTGGTCCTGAGAATATACCTCCGGTGGGTGTCTTCTGGGACATTGAGAACTGCAGCGTTCCCAGTGGACGCTCTGCTGGAGCTGTGGTCCAGCGTATTCGCAGCCGTTTCTTCCAGGGCCACCGCGAAGCAGAATTCATTTGTGTCTGTGATATCAGCAAAGAGAGTAAAGCTGTCATCCAAGAGCTCAATAACTGCCAGGTACCAACATTAATTTATTTTATTTTCATAGTTACGGTATTGCAGATGTTGGAGTTGGTCCTGTATGTAATGTATTTCCATGTCAGACATTAACTTCCATGAAATGACGTGAACATGTCATGTAATTCCCCACTAAAAGACTGCAAAAGAAAATTCACCAAAATGGAAGAAGTCTTAAGCTATATATACATAATTGTGCTTCATCAGGTTACCGTTGCACATATCAACGCCACAGCGAAGAATGCTGCAGATGACAAACTTCGCCAGAGCCTACGACGTTTTGCTGAGACCCACACTGCACCTGCAACTGTTGTACTAGTATCCTGTGAGTTCAGCTCAGATTCACTATAACCAACTGCAGTCTGAGTACTACAAAGGATTTTGCGATAAGTGTTGTTTTTCATTTACAGCGGATGTGAACTTTGCAAGTGAGCTGAGTGACCTACGTCATCGCCATGGTTTCCAGGTAATCCTAGTCCATGGCAGCCATACATCTTCAGCCCTACTGCAGCACGCCCACTGCCACGTGGCCTTTCAGGAGATCACAGCGGATCTGCCACCACGTATGCTTGTCAAAGCACAGGTAGGCCCCACAAATGCTTCATTGAGACTTAAAATGCTTTGATTTAATCTCTTAAATAAGGTAAGTATGTGCTGGTAACCAAGGAGAATTTCCTTTTTTATGTGGCCTTACGAAGAGGGCAGAGAGTGAGGCAGTTGGAATGTGTATTTGATCATAATGATTATTTACGCAACCTATACCACTCTGTTTTTCAACTATAAGGAAGACTACTGCTTTAATTTTTAAGTGTAAATTATACAAACCAGACAGGCGCGCTGTCTCTTATTCCCCTCCCTCAGCCGAGTTTCAACCTCCTCTATGTGCACAACCTCCCTGTCAACTGTGATAAGAGCCTGCGGAACGCTGTGAAGCTCAGGCTCCGGCGCCTGTCAGACAACTGTGGTGGCAAGGTGCTGGGCGTGTCCCAGGGCACAGCGGTCCTCCGTTTTGGCAGCCCTGAGGCAGCTACACGTGCCCGCAAGCGAATGGAAAATGAGGATGTGTTTGGCCACCGAATCAGCCTCTCCTTCTCCCCGTCGCCCAGAGACGATGCAAGTCGTGAGCCTGAGCTTCAGTCTCTGCCTCATCACTTGCCTCAGACTCTGCCCCAGACCTATCAAAACCAGGAGTCAGTGTTCGTCCCTCCCCCATCCATATCCTCCTTCTCCTTTCTGCCCCTGGAGAAGCCCAGGTCACCCAGGAGGCCACGGCGAGCAACCCGCCCGTGCCACACCTCCGGCTCAGTGCCTGAAAGGCCCTACAGCCCCAGGAGGGGGTGCAGTGGGCCTCCCGGTGGTGCTCCAGCTAATCCCCATCAGGTCAGCAGACTCGTCGGTGCCTGCTTCCCCTTAACCTCCATTGCCCTCTGTCCTTGTCTGGGCTGCTATGTAAATCACACTAGCTTCTCTCCCCCCAGTGTCCTAATTGTTGCTTGACTAACAACTTGTGGCTGCTCGCTAAGCTTCATAAGTCTGCTTGTGCTAGCATGTAGCATGTATTAGTTGTGATTAGTCCTTCATGTACCCCCTGTTGTCCTGCATGTTCATTTGTTATTTTAATGCATGAATAGCTTTTGTGCTTTCTTTTCTGATTTATGTTTTGTCCAGTATATCAGTGCTGATATACTCCTGTGTGAGTAGCCATTTCAGCCAAAGTCTGCTCCCTGCCTCTATTTTGTGGCTGAATTTGGCCCATGCAGTTTTCCACAATGATTAAAAACTGACCTCTGGTAGCTAGAATGACTGACTTGGTGTGTCTTTCTTTCTTTTATTGTAATCCAACAGGCCAGTGCGGAAGCCTGGAGAAAAATGTTCCTTAAATGTATTGTATAGATGGGCTGAAACTAGGGATGGACATTTAAGCTTTCTCTGTAGCTGTGCAGTAAAAGAGGGTGCTGATGGATCAGTGGACAAGATATGTGCCTTTTGGTGTGAGTGACCTGGGTTCAATTCCCCACTGTGACACAATCCACCAAGACACTTAACCCCTAGTTGCTCCAGAGGTGTGCAATCTCTGAAATATATATAGCAATTATAAGTCGCTTTGGATAAAAGTGTCAGATAAATCTAAACACAAAGAATATAAAGTAACATACAGATTTCTGTGCAGATCGCACTATGGGAATAATGTACTTGTCATTGCGGGTCTAGTTCATGATTTTCATTGCTATATCATCAGCTGTGTGTTATGGGTACACAGTATTTGTCCATTTAATACATAATCCCAATCTCAAATCTATTGTCGCTCTTTCTGCAACTGTCACAATGGCAGTCCTGTTGGCTGTTCCAGCTTGGCCTTGAGCTTCTCAGCATTCTGTCGATGTTTAATCAGAGCAGCTCGCATTGTGTATAACACATTCAAGTTCAACAAATTTTGAAAGTCAGTATCTTCAACAATCTTCATGATGCACTAAATTCAAATATTCAGCTGACATTGGCTACTGCTGTTCCATTTAGCTAGTTGATTAAAAATGCCCATCCCTAGTTAAACATAACTAAATGCCCTTCCATGACTTTTTCTATTGAGCTTGACGTGCACACACTCATACACGCAAACAAACTCATCAACCGTATCCAGCCAGTCAACATGTATAGTATTAACATATGCTGCCTCTGTCTGATCCAGGAGCTGGCTAGTTTGGAGGGTAAGCCCAGAATGGGCTTCCACCACTTGGAGAAGGGGCGTGCGGTTTCCTCTTCCCCGTCCCCCCACAGTAATGGTGAGACAGGAGCCCTGGAGCAGCTGTCCAAGCCTGGTCTCACTGGAGAATCCATGTACAGGAGGAGGTACACACAGGGAATGGGGACATTTGACTGAAGAAGGATGTCATATGATTAATAACTAGATTAAAAACTCACATACTTTTTTCTTTTGGTGTGCAAGTGCTAGCTTTAAGCTAAATGTAAGATAGTTAGGTGGTAAATCTCCTGTTGTCATTTTTTAGCCAGTCAATTATTTTTGTTGGATCCTTTTTATAAAATAAATCTTTCCCAGAAAGATGATGATGATCTAGCAGCATGACCAGCAACACTGCAGCAAAGGAAAGGAAAACTTTTAGAAGCCCTGAACAGCAAAGGATGTTGCTGTTAGACGTATCTCTCCACCCCCACCCACTTTTTGTGTGTGTTATGTAGAAGAGAGGGCTCCAATCCTCGGAGTGTGACTGAATCCCCTGTGGAACAAGGAAACGGGAGCTCAGGGGAGTTCCAGATTAGCACACCCTCAGCTTTCAGCAAGTTGAACCTGCACAGGAGCTTCAGTCCTCTTGTCCTGTCCCAGGGCTCCTGGTCATCAAGGTGACGTTGGGTTTAAATAAGTCATGTGACTAAATCGGAGTAGAACATTATTTTTTCACGGAGGACACTGATGATGATGCATACAAATTCTACAGACCCTCATAATAATAAATACTATGTTAGTTATTTTAAATTTGTGTTCCCCTTCTCCAACATAAAGGAGTGCATCCCCCTGTCTGTCAAGCCGGTCCTCGCCCCTCCTGGCTGCCCCTCATCCTGAAGGTTCTCCTGAGCCTTTTTCAGACGGTGCAGAGGTCCAGGTGGCCAACCTGGACTACAGAATGTCCCGCAAGGACCTACAGCAGACACTACATGACACCTTCTCACGATACGGGCAGGTAAGGCCTACTCAAGAATGTTGTTATACCTATTAATGTATAGATAGCCTTTATCCTCGTGACATCTGAGTCTAAAAGAGCAAAGTCTCAACTGAAATTCACCCCTGTCTCTCTTTGTCATCTCTTTGTCTGACTTGTTTTGTCTAGGTGAAAGCTGTGGAGCTTAGCCCCCACACTGACTATCAGCTGAAGGCGACAATCCAGATGTTGTCCTTGCAGCAGGCCATAAGTGCCGTTAGTGGCCTGCACCGTTATAAGATCGGAGGCAAGCGCATTCAGGTGTCTTTGATCACTGGAGGCAGCAACAAATCGCTTGCCATGCTCAGGTAGAGTCAGGTGTAGTTGAGTTGGGTTCATGAATACATATTTTCTTCAACTGTTCTTGGTTTGTTGTGGTAAATTTTAGCTTTCTCATTATACAGCACAGAGATCATCAGCATTCTTCAGGATGCACCTGCCAATTGCCTCCCCCTCTTCAAGTTCACTGAAATCTATGAGAAAAAGTAAGTAGATCTGTCCCAACTCATGGCTTTCAAACATGAGCAACTTTACCCATACACATAAATGTGAGGTGCAGGTCACACACATGTCACTCGCAGGCCTCTGCCTCTCCAGCAATTCATAGTTTTTACATGACGTCACATTCCAAGGAAAACGCTCTCTTGGATGGCAAAAAGACATTTTCTACTGCCTGCCAACCAGGAAGCAAGTGATGCATTGTTACTTTGAGTTTGTTACTTTTGCGTTGCCAAAATGCTGGATGGTTGTGCTTTCGGATGCACTAATCGAGGAAGAGACAAGCCTGGCCTGTGTTAGGTGAGGGATTCCCCAGAAAGGGAAAGTAAACATTACCACAGTTGAGCAGCGGCAGGGACCTGGCGGTTTTTAATGGTAGAAATGCGGAAGCGGATGCTGTAACGTTATATGGATGGTTATATGGGGTGGTGATGGCGCAATGGATAAGATGCCTGCCTTTGGCGTGAGACCCGGTTTCAATCCCCCACTGTGACCCATCCACCATTGTGTCCCTGAGCAAGACACTTAACCCCCTGTTGCTCCAGAGGCATGCGACCTCTGACATATATACCAATTGTAAGTCGCTTTGGATAAAAGCGTCAGGTAAATTTAAATGGATCGGATATGCCCAACACTTGCAGTTTGTTATCTTTCTTTTTCTTAAGTTGAAAGGTGATCCAAATAAAATTTTCAGTCTCTACAGGCCGGGGAAGTCGTGGTGTGAGCCTCTGTGTTGGTTTTTTTGGGGAGGGTTGTTTTTGCCCTCCAGGTCACCACGCATGTCATGTAACTGAAAACTATGAATAGTTAATACCGTCTTTCTTTGTTTGCCTGATGACAGCTTGAAGATAACCTAGAAAGCCAAGGACAAGAGATATGGTGCTCTAGACTACAACTGTCTCCCCTTAGAATGTAATACATGTCACCTCCTAGTTACAACTTGACTTAGGTAAACCATTAGTTCATCATTCAATAAGATTGTTACACACACTTAAGTCAGTAGAGAATGATCTTGTAAGGGGTCCATCGCAGACTTTATAGTTAAACAGTAAAGGGACAAATATGGTGGACAAAGAGGATCTTCAGATTTGGTTTTGGCACTACAAGTGTCCTCACTTTGTAGTATAGCAATTCCAAAATGATAAGAGATGTATTTCAAAATAATTTGTGCAGCCAAACTATATGCTTTCCCCCCCACACTCCAGATATTCACGTAAGATTGTGGTTGGGGATCTGTACAAGTTACCAGAGGTGGTGGCAGTGCGGGAACAGGGAGGCTCAAGGCTTGTGTGCCTTCTGCCCAGCAGCCAAATCCGTCAGAGTCCACTGGGATCTTCCCAGTCCCAGGAGGGCTCATGCTCTGCCAGCGGCAGCCCCGTGATCTTTGAGGAGCTGGAGTACCATGAACCTGTCTGCAGACAACACTACACACATCAGGACTTCAGGTTCTTAGAATTTTGCATGCAAAATGCACGTAGTGTATTTAATCTGCTTATTTCATGAAAACCTCTATTAAGAGTTACATACCCCTTGTCATCAAACTTGTTTTGTTGATAATTCTTTAAAGACTTAATGATTTATTTATTATAATCTGCTAGTGCCCAAGTTCCATAATGGTCCCGCGCATCTTCACCTGTCATGTACCTCACTTGCACTTGCCTGAAGAATTAAGTGTATCTTAATTCTCAAAGCACCGTTCTCAACTTTTATTTCTCTAGTGAGGCTGACTTTGACCCAGACTCCTATAAAATACCTTTTGTTGTGATGTCGCTGAGCACCTTAGCCTCTGAGGTCCACAGTCTGTTGCAGTCACATGAGGGAACTCTTCCATTACTAAGGTGAAAAACCAGCTCTTTAATTCACGTATAAATGTTTTCATCAAACGAAGCATGTTTTAACTTTATGAAGTAAATAATGTAGTATCTTTTCTTTTAGTTTCCCAGACTGCTATGCAGCGAAGTTCAGCTCTCTGCAGCTGGGCAATGAGGCACTGGAGGGTGGTGTTCCTCTGGAGCACCTCATTACCTGTGTTCCCAGTATCACTATAGTTACAGCTCAGAATGGTTTCAAAGTCATCAAGTGGATCCACAACAAACCACCAGCAGCAAACTCGGGTGGGAACAAAATCTTAAGTCTTTGTTTTGACATTTGAACTCGAATGTGTTAATTTTCTACAGTATCTGCTTAGATTTGTCTTTACCTGTCAGATATACCCATTTCAGCAGTTTGAAAAAAACATGTTTCTTTTCACGCAGAGCCGTGGATTCAGCGCTGCAAGAGTCCGGTTGGCAATCCACAGCTCATTCAGTTCAGCCGTGAGATTATCGACCTGTTGAAGAGTCAACCTTCTTGCATCATGCCCATGAGCAAGTTCATACCCTCATACCACCATCACTTTGCCAAGCAGTGCCGCGTCTCTGACTATGGCTACTCCAAGCTGCTGGAGCTTCTGGAGGCCGTGCCACATGTCCTGCAGGTATTGAGGTTACTGAGTCGCACATGATTGCCAGATTACTTTTTAATTGTACATTTGTTTGTATTTGACATATATGTTTGTTTTTTTTTTACCTACAGATCTTGGGTATGGGTACCAAACGTTTACTGACCCTGACCCATCGTGCTCAAGTGAAGCGCTTCACCCAAGACTTGCTCAAACTGCTCAAATTTCAAGCCAGTAAACAAGTGGCAATTAAGGACTTCATGCAGGCATACCATTGGTCAGTCAGCATTGCTTGGAGCTGTAGATGACGTCTGGAGGATGTTTTTAATTTAATTCGGATAAATGCTAGGGGTGTGCAGGCAAATAAGTATGGATCATCTGTGTTATGGATGTTTTGTGAGATATTCTTATACTTTTGTGTGTCAGGTGCTTCTCCAGAGACTGGAGGGTGATCGACTATGGCATATGTGACCTGATGGACCTGCTGACCGAGATTCCTGACACCACCATCACTATTACACATCAGGACACGGACACAGTCATCTCTGTTCCCAAGAGAGGTCCGTTTTAAACCAGTAACTAAAAATACCTATTTACAAGTGAAGATGAAGCTAAATGTGAATTGTTGGTATTCCACTGCACCCCACAGCTATGTCAACAAGCCACAACCCACTATACTTTCAGAAGCCATGTTTGCCTATTTAATTACAAATATTATTGTTTCTGATTATTTACATTATTGACATGGTCAAATTGCTGGTATTGCAGTGCCCAGTGTAGTCTTTATCAAGAGACTTATGTTGTGTTAGAAATGATAAGAATACGATTTACTTTGTCTGAAGCAAACCTTTGTATAATTGTTAAATATAACAATATATGCAGTACTGTGCAAAGACTTTTAGAATTGGATGTTGGATTATTTTCATTCACTTTGCATTATATTAATTCATAAACATACTATATTACCATGTCTATTTTTGAAAGCGTTCTTACTAAAATACCAAAAAAAAACACACCCCTAAAATATAAGATAATCGATGTTGACAATCCTTACAGTGTGCCAATAATTTCACTGAATTCCCTCTTATTTCCCTACAGAGCGTACAGTGGAGGAAATGGAGCGCACTAAGCAGTTTGGGAAGGAGGTGGTGGACCTTCTTCGTCACCAGCCTCACTGTCGAATGCCCTTCAGTAAGTTCATCCCCACCTACCACCATCACTTCGGTCGTCAGTGCAAGCTCAGCTACTACGGCTTCACTAAGCTCGTGGAGCTCTTCGAGGCAATCCCCGACATACTGATGGTGAGTTAGGTAGACTGTGTGTGTGGTCCCCTGTGCTCTTAAGTATGAGAAGTTGTTGATCATAACAGAATATTTACCAGCCCTCAGGACAAAAGGGAAGTAAGATTTAATAAACTATATTGAAGCAGTGGTATCAAGGTGTAAATCTGGTGTGTAACGATTTTACCTCCCATGCTATGCAGCAAAAAGAAAGAGTGGCAATTACTGGGATATTATCTCAAGATAGTGACGGTTAATAAGTATGTGAGTCATATATTTCTGTTTGCTTCTTTGAAGTGACTTGCTAATTCAAACTGAACTGCTAATAGCTGATCAGCATTGGCCAGCTCCCATGATACTTGCTACTCCTATTCTCATTTACACCAAATGCTTCCTGGGTCAGATCAGGATCCTCTTGGATTTTTTTTATGTCATGTGTTTGGATTTAACTGTTATTGAACCCACCTTTCAGAGGATAATGCCTCCTTCTTTGACCACCATCTTAACAGCTGTCCCTTACCTTCATCAGGTGTTGGAGTGTGGTGAGGAGAAAGTGCTGACTCTGACAGAAGTGGAGCGTATCAAAGCTCTGGCGGCTCAGCTGGTCAAGCTGCTTCGGGCGCAGAAAAACTCCAGTCTTCCTGTCAGCCAGCTGCTCACAGAGTACAGCAAGACCTTTGGTTATGGTCTACGTCTGCAGGACTACGATGCCAGCTCCCTGCCAGCTCTGCTGACCAAACTCTGCCATGTTGTCAAGGTAAAGAGCACCCCCAAGGATTAGTGTTTGTCTTGTTTTCCTCTATTTCAATTTGGTTGTTCTGTTCATTGCTGCTTAATTGCAATTGTAAACCTTAAATCTACAGGAAATGACAAGTCTTTATTTCTCCCCATTGAGAGAGACATCAAGGTGTTACGTCTGCCAGAAATAAGTGACATTTAAATGTTTGTGCTATATTTGTGCCAGTTAATGTCTAGTAGTTAAAACGACAGCATTACTGCCATTGTAGAATTAATTCAATAAAATGTTTACTGTTGCTTAGTTACAGTGGAAACCTCCTATAGTGATCAAATCTGTCCGGGTCAAATTGTTCACTAGAAGTTTTATTTCTCATGCAGATCACCATCTAATTGACATCTGTATATGCATTACATGAATATAAAGTAACAAAACTGAAAGCTTTGCTATTTACTGAATTTATACTGAAAGTATCCAGATACAGGACAGCTTTTCATATTGTGGAACTGTACTGTTTAAAATTTAAAATACACTATACAGTAGTGGATATAAAACTGTAGTTTATATTATAATTAGGCTATAGCCTAAAACAGTATTGTACTGTTAAAAAATACAGTAACATCTGTAGTGCAAATAGGCTACTAAGCCACAGTGATTTCAGTGCATTTCTAAAGTTTGAAAAACAGCAAATATTCATTAAATATTCTGATCTTAATCAAAAAATAAACCGCAGTGGTCACAACAACAGAGGTAAATGAGGTTACCTCTGATTTGTATGACTGCTCTGCACCACCTGGAAATGTAACTTCACAAACTTGTCCATTGATGTTTGATTGATTGTTGTTTACTTCTTACTGGGGTAACTGCTCACCATGGTAACTGCAGCACATTTCAATAACCGATCAGTGTGTATAAAAGCACTGTCTACTGACCAATCTTTTCCCTTGGGAAATGAGTGAATGAATGGATGTATAAAGACCTAGATTCTAGTAATACGTCCATGAGAAGACCCCGTGGAGCTCTCCATGTTTGCGATTATGCTGCAAACAACCCCCCCTTGTTGTTGTAGTACAGGCCTCAAGGTTTTCTGAATCACTAGTAAGATACCAAACAAAAACAAGAAGCCACTTTCTTTCCTTTTCAAGGTGGTGGATGGCTCAGAGGGTCGGGAAGTGCAGTTGATCAACCGGAAGTCTTTGCGTTCACTGACCTCCCAGCTACTGAGTCTGCTCATGTCTCAAGAGGAGGAGCATCTTACCAAGGGTCTCAAAGTGGAGCTGCTGAGTCAGCATTACCTGAATGCCCATGGAGTCCTGCTCAATCCATGTGAATATGGGTTCCTCTCCCTCAGCGAGTTACTCAAGAGCCTACCCTACCTTGTGGAGGTGAGTGGAGGAGGGTTTTTTGGTTGTTGTTGTTCTTAAACTCCTTCACGATCTAGTTTACCTGTTGTGCCACACAGGCAGGACAGACTGACTGTTCTTTCTTCTTCCACAGTTGTACCACGAAGAAAGTGATGATGACAGCAAAGCTGGCAACAGTGCCAATGGTCGCGCTGAGGAGTGGGTGAGGCTGACCAGGCTTTACCAGTTTGCCCGCAACGTACGGGCCCTGCTCCACACCTACCATTACAACCAGATCTTCCTGACTGAGTTCCAGGGGGCTTATAACAAATTTACAGGCTACAGCCTTGAGCCACGTTCCTATGGATACATCAGCACTGATGAGCTGCTCAGCGCCATTCCACAGGTGGGAATTTATTTCATTAGATACTTTTACAGCAGTACGTCAAGACACATTGTCCATAGATAACGTCCGGGTGTGAGATCTGCTAGTGCTGCTTAAATCTCATACACTCTTCAGAGCTTGTCTTTAGTGTTGTCATTACAGGTGCTGGTCATATAATTAGAATATCATCAAAATTGATTTCAGTAATTCCATTCAAAAAGTGAAACTTGGATATTATATTCATTCATTACACACAGACTGATATTTCAAATGTTTATTTCATTTAATTGTGATGATTAAAACTGACAACTAATGAAAATCCCAAATTCAGTATCTCCGAAAATTAGATTATTACTTAAGACCAATACAAAAAAAGGACTTTTAGAAATGTTGGCCAACTGAAAAGTATGAGCATGTACAGCACTCAATACTTAGTTGGGGCTCCTTTTGCCTGAATTACTGCAGCAATGCGGTGTGGCATGGAGTCGATCAGTCTGTGGCACTGCTCAGGTGTTATGCTCTGATAGTGGCCTTCAGCTCTTCTGCATTGTTGGGTCTGGCGTATCGCAACTTCCTCTTCACAATACCCCATAGATTTTCTACAGGGTTAAGGTCAGGCGAGTTTGCTGGCCAATTAAGAACAGGGATACCATGGTCCTTAAACCAGGTACTGGTAGCCTTGGCTCTGTGTGCAGTCAAGTCATGTTGGAAAATTAAATCTGCATCTCCATAAAGTTGGTCAGCAGCAGGACGGCTACGTTGACCTTGGACCTCAGAAAACAGTGGACCAACACCAGCAGATGACATGGCACCCCAAACCATCACTGACTGGAAACTTTACACTGGACTTCAAGCAATGTGGCTTCTGTGCCTCTCCTCTCTTCCTCCAGACTCTGGGACCTTGATTTCCAAAGGAAATGCAAAATTTACTTTCATCAGAGAACATAACTTTGGACCACTCAGAAGCAGTCCAGTCCTTTTTGTCTTTAGCCCAGGCGAGACGCTTCTGACGCTGTCTTGTTCAAGAGTGGCTTGACACAAGGAATGCGCAGCTGAAACCCATGTCTTGCATACGTCTGTGCGTGGTGGTTCTTGAAACACTGACTCCAGCTGCAGTCCACTCTTTGTGAATCTCCCCCACATTTTTGAATGGGTTTTGTTTCACAATCCTCTCCAGGGTGCGGTTATCCCTATTGCTTGTACACTTTTTTTTCTACCACATCTTTTCCTTCCCTTCGCCTCTCTATTAATGTGCTTGGACACAGAGCTCTGTGAACAGCCAGCCTCTTTAGCAATGGCCTTTTGTGTCTTGCCCTCCTTGTGCAAGGTGTCAATGGTCGTCTTTTGGACAGCTGTCAAGTCAGCAGTCTTCCCCATGATTGTGTAGCCTACAGAACTAGACTGAGAGACCATTTAAAGGCCTTTGCAGGTGTTTTGAGTTAATTAGCTGATTAGAGTGCGGCACCAGGTGTCTTCAATATTGAACCTTTTTACGATATTCTAATTTTCTGAGATACTGATTTTGGGGTTTTCATTAGTTGTCAGTTATAATCATCAAAATTAAAAGGAATGAACACTTGAAATATATCAGTCTGTGTGGAATGAATGTATACATTATACAAGTTTCACTTTTTGAGTGGAATTACTGAAATAAATCAACTTTTTGATGATATTCTAATTATCTTATATTACCAGCACCTGTATTTGTTTTGTTTAAGTCGTGGACAACCCATATCTTTAACAAAATACTGCATCACAAGTTCTTATACAGTCCTTGTAGTTTGTTATTCTTGTCTCTGACTATTTAGTCTGATCATTTTAACATGTCGTCATCAGGTGGTCTGGATCAAAGGGCATGGTCACAAGAGGATTATCGTTTTAAAGAACGATATGAAAGGTAAGGTGATATTTGTCATAGCAGGTTTCATTTAGTAAAGTGGAAAAATTTGCAAAATGATTGCATGAGACGCCACCTGCAGTGTATGGAAGCTGTATAATATGGATCTGTGTGTTTTTGTTTAGCAAGGGTAAGCTCTTCAGTCCCCAACAGCCCCCTGCCAGAAGAGAACATGGAGAGCCCGAGAGACAGCCCGATTAGCAACACAACGTCTGAAGCCCAGAGCCCAGGTAATATAGTTCAACAGGTATTTACATACATTGTTTTGGATTTAAAAATATAGTGAAGTAATTAAAACGCCTGTATAAATCAAAATAAGGGGATGAAAATGTTTGACTTAAAACCAAGGTATGGTTTTAGAGAGACTCTGCTGTGTTTTCTCAGACAGAATCATGTTCTTGTACCTGGCAGGTGTGCCCGACCTAGCGGCAGAGTCAGAGCTGCTGTGTCTGACATCACCAGTAGACCTACTCTGTGGCCCGGTACCATCCTGCCTACCGTCACCTCAGCTCCACCCCGACCCCGTTCTCCTCCAGGAGACGGACCTTATCCACTTTGAGGAGAGAACTCCACCACAACCAACGGGTTAGTTTAAATGTTAAGTTTCATGTATTTGTTTCATTTAAATATGTATAATTGTTCCGGTAGTATTGCAGGTTTAAAATAATTTGTATCCCCGTTAGTCACCCTTTGCTTTGACCGTTCTCAACAGTCTGACTCAGGTTCTCAACACTACAGACATTAAAAATCCACTAGATTCGATGCGGTCTGTTTTGTTTTTTTGGCCCCTAACCCTGAACAGTAATATTCTGCCTTAAGTCAATTAGCCTGTATATTGCGTGTGTGGGGGGAGGGGGGTTAAGCTGATCAGATGCTTGATTAAAAATTTGAGATTTCAAGATTTCCTATTTGTAAAGTTACAAATTTGGGTGATTGTGTGGCATTGGCACAGATATGTACTTAATATTGGGTAAATGGCGGAAAATTTACACTGCAAGAGAAAACATCAAAAATACATTTTAATGAGTACATCACACTTTATTTGCACCTTTCATTAGGTGTAAGCTCAGTCTGTACTCGTGTGTGATTTCAGTGAGTAATGAACCTGAGGTGGTGGCAGCTGTGGCTGACAGCACATCTGATCCACCTGAGCACCCTGGCAGCACCGAAGCCTCTGCAGTCTCCAGACTTTCACCGCCCCCTGACATGAAGACTCCCTTGTCTGTGGACAGTCCGAGCAGAAGAGCCACGCGCAGCAGAATTAAGCTAGCAGCCAACTTCTCATTCCCAGCAGACCTCTGACCCTTTTAACACATGCACACAAAGCAATACTAGTTCACCCAGAGTGTAACTCTAAATGTAAGAGTTGACTGGTTACGCTGAACACACTGCGCAGAAGTGACCCCAGAAGAGCATTGGTATTGTCCCCTCTACATCCCAACAGGCTGTTGCATTCTTCTGCTTTCTTCTTAATCACTCATCAGCCATCTTTGTTCGCTGATTTCACATCAGTGTGTTCTCCCGATGATGTTCACCAAGCTGTGATTTTCTTCTTGCAGGTTTTCTGCAATTCTTTAATTTGCCAAATACATCTACTGTAACCTGTATTTGATTTCATCTCCAGGGAAGTTAAATTGTATTTCCATGAATGTGCATCTTCAGTTTAGAGCCACGTTGTGTCGAAGAACACTCTCTGGCTTGCAATGACTGCAGAGTCTAAAAATGAGGTAGTTGTCACTGTATACTGAGTATTGGGGGATATTGGGAGAAATGCTGGGGGTGAATAACCATGTTTTCTGTATAAAATCAAAGATTTAGTTACCCACATTCTCAGTTAAAATTTTTTTTAAAATAACAGAAGGTTTCTAGAGATGTTTTGTTCATGTACCATATTGAGAAACCTTCATGTATACTTCCTTGCTGTATCCCCAAAAACAGAGCATTTCATTTGTGACATTCATTCATTTTTTAACTCATTTCAAAGTTGTTGTTTTTTTGTTTGTTTTTTTTACAGATTTTGCTTTATAGGTAATGGTAGACATGTCAACCGAACTGGCTAAGTACCTGCCCATTTCATTCTTTCAGTCTTATCTTGGGTGTAAAGTACTAAAGATTTCTTAAGTGGTAGCTTCTCTTTGAAGTATAGTCTGGACTTTGTGTCACTGTTGTGAAGTAGCCTATGGACAGTATTTTCAGTTCCTATTATATTATGCAGAGTATTAGTCTGTGGAGGATTTTGGCCTATGTGGTGTATTTGGTAGCAATTCAGTGATGGGATAGATGAGAGAAACATTGGTGCTAACTGTTCAGATAGCAGCTTTTGTTACTGGAAGCGAACAGTGTTCGAACAGTTCAGGCATGGATGGAAAGGTTTTGATTGATATTGCGACAAGCACTGCTCTCAGGAATTTTTATTCTTGTAGTACTTAATTTATAGCAAAGATTTTGGCTCGTCTCCAGGGCAACTGATGAAGGCCAGAATGGGAAAAGGATGGCTCTTTAGTACTCGCCCAAGTGTGTGCTCAGGCAGCAGGAACTGAGATGTACTTTGATTGTTCAGCTTCAGCCAGCAGCTGGTGTGTTTGTGTTCTTTTAGCTATATTTTGTCTGTGCGTGGGTTACACTGGAGCAGGTGGTGTGAAATATGCATGGTGTGCATAAATGAGTTTATGCATGGTGTAAGCCCAGGAGGAGCAGACAGGAAGAGATGATGGTAAGACATTCTTTAAGATCGGTCTTTTATTTCCATCAACTTTTAGGGATCTTCGCGTTGGCGTCGCTCTTGCAGTCGCCACATAAATGCTCAAGGTTTTTGAGTTAACCTTGTTGCTGGTAAGCACTGTATCTGTGGTGATGTCCACACTGCCTGAGTTGAAGTGTTCGAGGGGAGCAGTGAGCACTCCTGAGATTTTGATTTTTAATGACAAGGTGAATGGCTGTGAGTTTTTAGGGGAAAAGAGGTGAGACTGGAGGTGGTAGGCTGTTTGTGGAGCACCATGGGGGCTTGGAAAGCCTCCTTAACAAACTGAAGTACAGACAGAGGACCCTCTGCGGCTCTCTGGAATCTACCGGGCTTTTACAATGGCTTGTATTTGCCACGGTGCCAAAGGAATCACCATCGTTACCTCCCCTTCCCTCACATCTCAGAGTTTTTACTTAACTGATGTGTGTTGGTTTCTGTTGTCTTCTGTGAAGTGTTTACAAGACTGCTGGCTGCAGAATTGCCACCAAATGTCAGCTGCCTGTGAAGTTTAAGTCAAAGTTTTGTGTTCAGAGAAAAGGTTCAAAGCAATGGGTAAAAGCCCATTTAATCAGTTTGAGTGTTTACCTCTTTAGCCATTGTTAGCAGTATGTTTTCTTTGTCAGACTTAATTTTGACTTCGTATGAAAAGCCTTTTTAAAGCTGAGAGATTCTACCTGCCAACGTAGCAAAATGTCTAAGATGCCGATCAAAAAGTTTTTAATTAGAGCCGTTAGGGTTCAGGACTCTCCTCTCCTGCAATGTTTTACTATCTGGAAACCTCTCTGATTATGGAACAAGCAGTTCAGAGTAGTTAATAATTTAAAATTGGTAATGTTAGAAAAGGGGCTTTAAATGCTCACTAGAAATGTCTAGATTTAACTTTGGCAGTAAGAATGTTACTTTTTTTGAATTTGAGCAAACCCTCGCACTCCCACAGTACTGCAGTGGCAACTAGCTTAGCTGCTATGTATTAATACATTTATCTTCCCTATTTAGCTTTCTCTTTCTTTTGGTTACATCAGTGAGAAGCTATTGCACCTGTCAAAATATGCACGTTTGCATAGTTTTGGTTCATGAAATACATAATGTGAAATTAGTTAGTGGCCAGAGGGGTTGTAACATGTTTTGTCTTTTCTTCTGTTTAACTGTATATGACCCTGTCTTGCTTTTCCTTCATTCAGCAGTACCCTTAAAACTCCTGCCTTGTGATTATTTTTTTTGTTTACCTGGTCAACACGTCTCACTTATGTGTCCTCTACATTCTCCTCCCCCCTCTGTCAAACTGTTTTACTGCCTCACTGCACCAGAAGTTACTGTAACAGTCTAATGAAGGGACCAAAAGGATTTCCGTAAATAAATTTCACAAGCATCATTTCTGTCTCGTCTCGATGTTCTTGTTGTCTGAATCAAATTACTCAAAATCACAGGCACGTTGCTGAAAGATGCTCTTTATTTAAACATATATGTACAGGTAGTTATTTTCTGCATATTTGTTCAATATTCAATGTTAGGACCTTTATTAAATTCACTACTACTACAGAACGCTAAGTTGTCAGAAGGAAGGGAAAGTGACAAAGAGCAACACTTAGTCACTAATGTCCTAAATACACTCAAACATACACAGTCTATTGTAGGCATTTACATTCATTTCCTGGGGTCATAAAAATGCAAGACTAAATTCAGAGGATGCAAGTGGTTGTTAGCAATATAATGACTGAATGATGTCATATTACCACAGTCAATAATTCCCGGTAGCTGTTGGTTGAGATGATGATAGTCGGTGATGTGGTGACTGAGGAATGAGTAAGCATAGTGGACCATTTAAACAACAAACACCCCACCATGTTGAATAAAACATTGGCATATACAGGGGTTAACCAAAATAAGATTGAGGTCACAAAATCACTAGAAGAAACGCTGCTGCAGAGGTGGGTCTTATGAGATTGCATGCCAGTTAGCATTAACCTCTAGAGTGAAATGCACAAGTGTGGACATGCTTCACTGTGGTGCTATGAAATGATCTTAAAGTTATTATTTTACATGTACATTTCCATTTATATATTTTCTACAACATTCTGCCTTTTTAGCCTACTAAAAGAAAAAGGAGAAGTGTATGCAGTGCAAAGAAAATTAATTGATCACACTTGGGGAGGTTTAACGGACATAAAGGAACAGCTTTTGAAACCGTTCTCTTGGACATTATTAATAATTGATCTAATTTTAAAGATGCTGAAACTCCTGCTGTTTGGACACAGATGATTTGGGCTCTTTGAAGTTCATTGTGTCATGTTGATTTGGCAGCCAGTACATCTACATTTTCAGACTCCTTTTAAAGCATACAGATGCTATTTATTGGCATTCAGTCCAATACAACCCATCTTTGTAGCAACGTTGCAGTGGAGTTGTGGTCAGATCAGCACTGAAGCCCGCATTCATCAAGTTGTGTGCAAGCTTTGTCCTTTTTTTCTCTTTCAATGACCACCATGTTTTTTTTTAAGCTTTATACCCAGTACAGCGGATATTACAGAATCACAGATAGAGAATTCAACTGCTAAACTGCTGTTCGAGACAAAGCATGGAGTCAAAAATATTGCTCAGCTCCAGTAAAAAAGCATCTATTGGCTGCTGCCCCTGTCTCACATTTATATACCAGTCATTCAATCGGCAGCCATATTGTTGGTCTGAACCGCATGTGTTCATCCCACCTGGAAACAAAGATAAAAACACAGACATGTGGGAGTCCTGAAAGTGAAAGAGGTTCACTGGTTGATGTTAAAGGGCTGAAATGGAAGAATAAATACCCGTTGTCAAACATGACGGGACAATAACAGATGTTTTCTTCCTGTCAGACAAAGAACCCCAGCATTTATACTTCTCTCAATGGACATTGTGCTTGTAGTTCTGTAAATGCGTGTACTCTCTATCAACCACATGATCATAGACCATGTCATCTTAAAAGAATGTTATATGAAATGGGACATATATACATATGTCAGATTGTTATTTATAATTTCCTTTTCAGTCTCCTTTCCCTTCCCTGTCTACACACTGTGGACAAGGGTCTTCACTTGCAGAAGCTCCATACTGTACTGTAAGGTTCCCCTTTAGTACTGATTAGGGATCAGTTTCCAAACTCTAAGCTGAAACTTTATCTGCAATTAAATTACAAAAACTGATTCCTGAACAGTTTCACAGCTAACGAAGGTTCTCTGAGTCACAGGAAGTGATGTATGGCATGTCGTGTGGTGCAAGTGTGTTGTGTCTGACACGTGGACGGCGTCAAAAAGAGGTCTCTGTCAGTTACATGACCGCACACTGTGTGGCTCCGCAGCAATCCTTAATGATGGCCACTCCTGACTTGGTGATGGATGGTTTGTTGGGCGGCGGCTCTGAGATTTGTCTCTTGGGCTTTGGAGGTGCTTGTCATAGAGAAAGAAGAGGGGAAAAATCATCACAACAACGAAAGTGAGCAATGCTTCTGCCCCTCTCTGACTGTGTGGTTGTGTCATTTTTCAAACGTGCCCACTCACTTTGTGTGACTTTGAGCTTCTTCTCCAGAGGCATCAGCTTCAGTCTGAGGAACTCAGCCATCTCCTTGTCCTCCTCACGCTCCCTGAGTTCCAGATACATAGTCAACCATTTGAATCCAATGCAATCAGTACAGGTTGGTTTTAAAGTCTCTTAACAGCTTGATATACCTGATTTATAGGCGCCTCTTAATAAACCTTTTTCACAGAACACATTTTGACGTGTCACAGCAGGAAAAGCACAGATGTAAATAATAAATGATGGTTGTATTTTATTTAGCTGCTTTGGTCTCAGGGTCTTGGTATTGCACATGCTGTCACACTGTCTTGAACACTTGAATAGAAAGGAACCAGCATGTTAGCATTGTTATTGTAAATGTGTTAGCACGCTGATGTTAGCATTTAGCTCAAGGCACTCCCTCACAGAGCTGCTGCATCAATAGATTTATCTTTCAAAAAAACTGGAGCTTATCTCTGAGGGTAATAATAATACACAAGCAACACAAACCAGAGCTACATGTGGCCTTAATGTTGACAACATATCACAATGTCACACAGGTTTCTGCTGTCCACTTTCAAAATGAACTTTTGAAGTAGCTCAGAAAAACCTCACCATTTGCAGTGATTTAAAACCAGCCTTTGATTTTACATAATTTTTCTATCTGAAAGTTATCTCTGTGTCACACTCAGTGGGTTATCTGTGGCAGCAGAGGAGGAAGAAGAAAATGACAATGCAGAGCCGCGGTCATCAGTCAGGCTCTCTCCCACACACACACACACACACACACACACACAGAGCAGGCAGTGCTGGGATGATGAAGTGTCCCTGTCCCCCACCTTCAGTCATGCTCACATTTGCTCCACACATTTAATGAGTCTCCTTCCCGCTGTTTCTCAACCATCCCATGTCTATCAAATGACGAAACAGTGAATGCTTAACAGTGTTTGGGAAAAAAAACAGACAGCCAGCTCCCGCGGACATTATCCCGGATATTAACTGTGCCTGTATGTGGGAGCGCTCTCTACCTTAATCTCTCCACCTCTGCATCGTCGACCAGGAAATCCCTCTTCTGCACTAGCTTATGGATCTTCAGGATCAGCTCTTCTTCCCGCTGCTTGTGTTTCTTGTTTTTTTCTTTCTCTGGGGGAAAGGAAGAAAGAAAATGAAAGAAAGGCAGACTCATAAACGAATAAATAAATGGACGGTTAGAGGGACAAGCAGACTGAACTGAAACCTTAATATTTTACTAGCTCACATAAAATATAAATACAGGTTCCGTACATTTAGTTAATTGCACCTGACCTTAACAAACTGACATTACAGCAAAGTCAGCTAGCTCTTAAACACTGAGTCACCCCCCAAACAGACCTTAATTCTCCCCTCATGTATAATTTACAGAAATTAAGGCACTGACGTAATTATGCAAATGCTAGAGAGCTCTGTTTTTTGTTTAATTTGCATTCACAGTCAGAGATCCATGAACGTAACATCCTCTTTGCTTTGTCTCACTCTTCTAACCTTCACACTCCAAAGCACAGCAAAAGACACACATAAACAGACCAAACTAAGTACACACACACACACACACACACACACACACACATGCGCAGACGGCTGCAGAGGTAGGTTGTCTGACACAGCTGGTATCGAGGCTGGGTGGGAGAAAAAAGGGTTTGAAAAACGACTGCAAACATCAGCTCTTTCTCCCATCTGGAAATAAAAGAGGAGCCATGCAGCCACAGTGTGTATCCCCCCGAGGGTAGAATAATCTGAGGGGCGCATGGATACAATCCCAATGTCAGAGGAGCAGGAGAGGCAGAAGGGGATTTGTCATGTGACTCATAGTGCTGGAGTAAAGTAATTGGCTGCCAGAACCCCCAACAACTGCACACATGAGGCCCCATTGGCTCCTAGGAGTGTCAACGAGGGGCAGTTTGTGTGACCAGTAAAATGAAATAAAACAGACCAGAACAGGTGTGTAAGTACGGCTGGGCAATATGGCCAAAAATGTTATCGCGATAAAAACATAAATATCCTTTGATATCAAAAATTATCACACAAAAATGTCAAATCATTATTTCTTTCAAGTATAAAGGCTGATTTTTGCTCCTTAAGTGAACACTGAAGAAACCAGATGGTTAATTGTGGTTTTAAAATTTTCTTTATGGTCAGAAGAAACACTTGATGCCAAACTGTGGATCACTTAACAAATCTGAGGTAGAACATTCAAAACAATTATGATAAAAATCTTTTTTCAACAAATATGCATGAGTAAAATTAAGTGAAATCTTTATTCAGACTTTTTTCCTCAACAAAATCAATATCTTAATAGAAACATTAGATGCTAATTCGATCATAATTCAAATGAGTTAAAATTATATTGTGATCATTTTCATTACTGTTTTATTGCCCAGCCCTATGTGTAAGTGAACCTAAAAGATAGATTGTGTATATTGTGAAATACAAATTAAAGTGGAATTCATAAGCAATAAAACACAGCCATGCTCAACTCAATACATAAATCCACAGCCTTGGTCTGGTGTGACCAGTAGCTTACAACGGATAATGCTAGCTAATGTTAGCAAACTTAAGACGTGCACTGTGTTTTCTTGTAAACAAACAAATGTTAAATTTACATTCAGTGTTACTCACCAAAATGCATTATGTGTATCCTTGAGTTCTAACAGAAGTGCTGATTGCATTTCCTCCCTTATAAAACTTTTGCAGAGCCGATTTTTCTTAAAAGTTTGATTTGTGCATTGATTTACATCCATGTTTACTTGCAAGCAATCTTCTTATTCCCTTTCTTTCTTGATGTATTGTTGTGTATGATGCATTACTATT